TATTCTCATTTCTAAATCTTCTCATCATACCCTCAATAATTTTAAAAATAATTCACTATTACAACCACTTATTTTGAATTTATTCTTCATTCCATCACATTATTTTATTATATTCCCATTATATTCTCAATAATTCATATTCTCTTTCACTATTCTTAATTTACCTACTTTTGAAATGGGAACATATTTAGGTTACGGAGGTAGTAGCAGTTACTTTCACGACAGATTTATCACACAACGGTTTACCACACAACACATTTTAACAATTTAATTGACGTGACGGTTTCAACCCACTACGACACTGATTAAAAGTGATTTGTGTCTCTCAACGGGTTGTAGATTTCTTAAGTTAAATTATAGGAACTTATGTCGTGGTGAAATTTATACGAGCATCACTGAATACTAATTTAATCATATATGGATTTTTAGGAAATAATTATAAAAAGATACTTTTAATACCGACATCAAGTATATTTGTGGTGATATCGATATAACCAACCCCCCTCCACTATCTCGATAGTATATACCTACAAAATTTTCAAGACGTGTCATTCTTTGTGCTATAATGTTTTTATTTTTTTAAAATATACTCCGTAACAACTTATTAATGTTTTTGTTATCATAACATACATTTGTTACAATTTCATTAGATAAAACAAATCTTACTTTGGTATTTCCATGTATAAATACAAGTCATAATTATAATATAAAAATATTTATGTCCCGTGCAGCGCGGGTACAATACTAGTTATTTCTTTAAAAAAGTAAATTAATGGTGTTAATTACATAATTTATAATATTTTAGAATTCTTGAAGACACAATTAACATTCTAAACTTTCATTGCAAGATATATAATTCTACTCACAATCCATATAATTGCAACACTTTTACTTTGTTATTTTAAATTATGCAATCAACCCCATAAATTTACATTTTTGAAAGGCACAATACATGATAATGGCGAGAAAATAACTTTTTATATTAAGTTCCACAATTTAGTTTAGTTAATAGAATTAATAACTTGATAAGTACTTTACTCATTCATGTTGTAGTGAATGTGTCACGCCCCAGACCTACCGGACACGTCAACAACCCGCCGTACAGTACGAATAGTCAACCACAGTCCAACTCATCCATACTATACTATGCGTCTTGAATACCATTCACAATAATACATCCATAAACAATCATAATGTAAAATATTCAATTAAGCAGCGGAAACATCAATACAAGTGTTCGAGCCACACGTGGCAAACATGGGCATGCAAGCCCCTAAATGATTATTCAGAAAATAATATCCATGAGCATTAATTTAAATATTTTGAAGATAGAAACGGAGGAAGCACGAACCACGTCTTCTCTCATTAAGCTTCCCAAAGCAACGGGCGATGATAGCAGCTTTATCCCCTACCTGAAACTGTGAGGTGGCCTCCCCCGTGAAGGGGAGGTCAGTACTTGGAAGCATTTGACAAGTACAATGACAATTATACTAAGTATAATCAATGTTTCAATTTCCAAGACCCTCAAATAGAGTGATATTATATTATAGGTCATAACCCTTGGTTACCCTCTTCGAAAATATACTTACTTTATATATAAAGTCAAGTAGTCGGCCCGAAGGCCCATGTTTACTTTGAAAACATTCAACCTTTTCCCCGTGACTTCAAGCCACGCCCATCCATATTAGTTCACCATGCTAGAGGCTTCCTCTAGTCATGTTTTGTCGTGCTAGAGGCTTACTCTAGTCACTCCACTTGGTGTTAGAGGCTTCCTCTAATCACCTTACATCCGTTGTGCTAGAGGCTTCCTCTAGTCACATCACGTTATGCTAGAGGCTTTCTCTAGTCATCCTACATTACGCTAGAGGCTTCCTCTAGTCATTCTTCATCGTGCTAGAGGCTTCCTCTAGTCACGATACTAATTACTAAGCAAATTCTATGCCTAGAGTTTCTCTACTATGAGTAACCTTTGAGGTCTACTCCTAATGTAACTTAGCGTTTACCCATTCCTACCTCAAGACATCTCATAAGACTACTTAGGGTACCTCTTTCACAATCCAAGCCCTTAGGATTTGTTCTATTACTTTTCCTACGACATTTCCGACTAGTAAATTCAATACTAATCCATTAATCTTTAAGCAACCAAGCTCTTTAATTCATAGTTATAAGGTTCATTCCTATGAACTTCCCAATCCGTATATGATTTAATCTCAATATCAAAAATATCACTTTTATCCATTCATGATTTCTATACATGAAGTAAAAGTATATTTCATCACAAAAATTCATGGTTTATACAATCATCATACCATCATACTTATAGTGCATAACTATACACCATTTACTCATAAATTTGTATATTATGCATCTTCTATTCATAAACAATAATATTTTCATTTAGGCATTATTAATCATTAATAATCCATGAAAATCACATTTAATTACCTTAGGTAATCTTATGAAATTAACCCAAGGATTATAAGCAATATAGTCAGTCATCCTCACCTTATGAAGTGCTGAAATAGTTGCCTTTGTTAAGCCCACCGATCAATCCCCGTTCTAAACCGATCGAAAATGCAAATTCTGGACAGCAGCCAAAAGCCGGGCGGCTTTCACAAAAGCTAGGCGGCTTTCGTGGTCTGCAACTACGAACAGCCTCCTATATTTAGCGGTTTCCAGCGGTTTCAACTCCTATCGATTCCATGACTCTTCTAAGTTAAATACCACCACTTTATAACAATATTCTACACTTTTAAACGTGTAGAACTTCACATTTAATCCACCACATGATTTCTTAAAAATCATACACAATGAAACTAGTTAAGAGATTGTTTGTTGAGTTCTTACCTCAAACACAACCCTTTTCTTCTTGGATTTCTTTTGTTGATGATCCTTCACGTCCAGACCTTGTGAGAGCTTCTTCCTTGAGCTCCTCTCTCCCTTGACTTGTGCGTATTGTTCAAAATGCAGGGGAGAGGTGTCTATCCTCACTCAAGGCCAAAAATAATGCAAGAGTATGGCCAAGGGAGTGGTTGATTGTCTTGAGTCCTCCTACCATCCAATAGTCCGCACAAGCCATGTTTAGTTGTCTCCTTCTCACTATTTGGAGTGTACAACACATGTAGGAAAATCCCCAAGTGGGTGTAGGAAGTTCCTCCCAATTATTCTTGCTATTTCTGGCGGGTTTGGTCAAAATAGCACTCGGGTTGTCCAAATATTTTTATCAACTTTAGTTCGCACTTTATTTGGGTTTCTATAATTATCACGATGACCCAACTAACTATTTGGTAGCCCATTCTCATATACTGGACCCGATAAATAATTTAATTGATCGCACATTAATTAATATACCAATTATGTCACACGAATTTTATTCGCTAGAAAATTTAAATACATATCAAGTTTCAAATTCAAGTACATCCGGGCGCGGTGTCACAGAATGTCCTTTTTTGTTTTCTTTACTATATTTTTTAATTTGTTATGTACTTATGTTTAAAATATAAGTTTTGATATTTGAAATGATGGTTACCTTGAATGTATTTATATTTCTTATATTTTTAAACGTTGTACTCCCTCCGTCCCTTATAACTTTGCCAACTTTCCTTTTTTGGATGTCCCACTAACTTTGCCATTTTCCCTTTTAAGTAAATAATTTGTGGTTCCAGTTAATTCTCTCTCCTTAACACAAACCTCAATAACACAGTTTTTACTTTATTAATCCTCATGCCAGTCAAACTTGTCAAAGTTATTAGGGACGGAGGGAGTATGTCTTTATGTGGCACAAATTTAGCTTTGATTGTAGGTGATTAAAAATAAAGGAACCAACAAATGAATAGAACCGAATCGTTAAGGTTTGGTTCGATTCCATATTGAGCTCCGGATTTTTTAAATGGTTCCACATGTCTTGGGTTGGAACTGAACCAGTCCCAGAACTAACAAAAGGCTCACGGGCCCATATTGATGTTCAAATTGCATTGTAGCACACGTTTTTTTGTCTTTGTGATGAATTTGAAATGTAGAGGAGAGTTGATGATCGAGAATTGTAGAATTGCTCCTCCTTTGTCTTTGTTCTTCTTTGTAGTAATCTTCTCTTTTGGATCAGCATGACTGAAGTCCGATTTTGCTTCCGAAATGATTGGTTGGTTAGTTTGAGGCGCACGCGCATGGGCTTCATCTTCATTACCTGACAAAAGTCTCTTCCATAATGTAGTCTTCTTTTACTACTTGATTTGAAAGCTCCTGAGGTGTACTTGTCATCGCCAGAGGCACAGTGGAAATAATGGGCGCTTCAGAGTTCAGAGTATGCTAACCATTTGAATGGAGCAAATTTGGTAGGTCGCGTGGTGGAAGAGTTGTTTTCAATAATGATGGGTCAAGTTTTAATGCACGGGGACTACTCAACCTACTCTCCCCCTCCTGACGGTCTGATTCATCGGACCGTCATGCTTATTTTGAATTAAAAAACAAAAATGAAAAATGGAAAAAACTAAAGACATCATGGTGTTTTGTTAAATGTTAACACACCACCAATGAAAGCACTAATGTGTGGTCCGCAAATAATGATGAAAGTGTTAAAACAAATCATGATAGTAAAATCGTCTTTAAAAAAATTGACTATTGGGACCGGACCAGGCCCAACACTGGACAGTCCTGATCTCAAAAAATCATACATAGAAGTATAGAACCTTGTAACGCAAATCGGCTCTAGCAAGACCGGTCCTGGACCGCAAAACAAGTTCTGGGCCGATCGCAAATAGGGATGGGACTAGTAGTCAAACATGGACCCCTCCATCGGTCCACCTAGACAATATAGTCAAAGACTACGATCCTACAAGTTGCAATGCAACCCATGTACTGGGAGTTGAGAATAGCTCAACTGATCAAATGTATGAGTTGTTAATTTGGTATCTTCATCAAAGGACGATTTTATACAAAAGGACGCGTTCTGTGAATGTTATTGTACTTGCGGCATGACCCACTTTTCAAACAGATAAACAGCGGAGAAAGTGAGTGGTGCGGACTGCGGAGTAATAAAATGGCTATCAGGAGAGATCACAAGATTACAGAAGCATGTTTACTGACTGTTTATCTTTGACTTTTTGAAACTTTTTGTACATATTGTCTATATGGTAAGAATTCACATTTCTGACAACAAGAACAAGACTGCCTAACTCCTAGATATACTCTGCTATCTTTCTTTTGCCAAACTGACTACCCAGTAACATAAACATACCTCTTACATTTTATACAGAAGCCGGCTCCACTTACACTCACTACAGGAGTTAGATGTTTCATACCCAAGAAAACCCCGATTCCATATATATCCACCTTTGTCTTCCTTAAACCAAGTAACTTTGCCAAACTCGCACTCACTTTGCATCAGAGAGCAATCCTATGCTGATGTTCTTGTTAAGACTATTTTATCATCATATGCGGTACGAAAGCGGAGTCCTGATCCAATGTGTCCTGCTGTGGGTATTAGCCAACAGAGCACATTAGGGCCTAGAATCTGCCAGGCAAGAGAAAAACGATTGAGTGCATAATGATAATACTGGATGGATAAAAAGCAAGTAATCAGGTCTTGAAACTTGGCGCCCATGGTCGAATGACTTTATGCTTATCAGTCTCCGAGTATTTTATCAAACAATCTACTACATTTATGGAAAGGAAAACCCTTAAATAAAATCCCTTTCTGCTAACTAAGGATGTTTTTACTTGGACTGAAATTTGCTAGTCTGATCTGGTCTGTTTAAGTCTAGTCTGGTCCGATCTGAACTGGTCTGGTAAATGTCTGGTCTCTATGTATTTTATAACTATGAAAGTCTAGTCTGGTCTGGTCTGCTTAAGTCTAGTCTGGTCTGGGACTGAAAACAGTCAAAGTAAAAACATCCTAAGGCACTTTTGATTGCTTCCAGCTTACACATAGGAAGTGTTCGCGATTGCTTCTACTATAAAAAAGTGATATTTTAAAGTGATTTTGGGAAAAGTTCGTAATAGTAAAAGTTGATAGTGTTTGAGGAAAAAAAATACTTCTGAAAAAGTAAAAACGGTGTTTAAAACACCCCTCAACCTGCTTCCAGCTTTTAAATGCTTAATTTAAGAAGATGTCACTTGAAAACATAAATTTCAGCTTTTTAAAGCTAAAAGCTAAAAAACATTTTATTTTTATTTTTTTGCAAACACTCCCTTAATCTGCTTACTCTGTGCTAGTAAAGACAGTGCTGGCTTCACATAATTGACAAGTTGGCTGGCTACATAGGATGATTAAGGAAAGGTAGTACGGAAGTTCCGTTTTGGTTTAAATGAAAAGAAATGACAATTAAATGTTCTATTTTATATATATACAAGGGCAGCCCGGGGCACATTGGCGTTCCGAGAAGGCCAATGTGCACAGGGCTAGTCATTTTGACAAGAGGTGTATAAAGAGCAAGCCTTCCCTTGTCATTTTGACAAGAGGCTGCTCCCAGTACTTGAAAAAAGTCTTGAATGAGGCAACTCTTTTAGCAAATTCCAGACACTTCATCACTTTCAGCCACCCCCCTACCAAGCAGGGTGCTAGCTAGATGCTGCAAAGTTGATTATTTATTGACCACGATGCTATAAGAATAAGAGAATGCAACTTCTTACAGATAAAATATTCTCATATGCACCAAGATCATAAGGGTGTGAGTAGAGATGGCCCCCTTTTTCAGCAAGCCACATGGCTCTTACACCTTCATGATACTGTTGAATTAACAAATTTGAAACAGGTCACTTGAGAAAAACAGTACCTCCTATTAGGAAATTAAAAACAGGTCACTTAAGAAACATAACAGAATAGAAACCTCTTGTTGACACGAACCTCAATTGTTGTCTTGTTTTGCAAGATCAGGTAGGTATGCCAACCAAGAAAAAATGCCAATGTTGGGCTTAACGGAATCAACAAAATGCCTGCAATAATCTGGTGAAGGAATAGATATATAGTTAATGTCCAAAGTACCCACAAGAATGGGATCAAACGGATTAGAAGTTGGACCAATACTTTACATTTACAGTTTTGTAAGACCCTAGAGAATTCTGATGAAGATCATGTTCAGATCCCATAGCTAGGCTACCCACAAATAAAACCTTGAAACAAGAACATGAACAGCATGAATGAAATAAGGATATACTGGATGGTAAAAGAAGGGGAAAAGCAGTACGAACATTGAAGAATGGATTACTTCCTTACCAGGGAGTATAGACACGCAATAACAGCATAGACAAGAAAAATGAAGAAAGCCTTATAGTTTGCATGGCCCACACAATTATTCAACCAGACACAATGATGATCCTTCAATTCATCAATAGACAGCACTATGAAACAATTCAGAGGAATTCAAGAAATTGATTTTATGAATCATCCACCAAATCCTTACCATCCGTAAAACACATCTGTTACAGACTCGGCAATGATGGGCACGAGGAGGCTTATAGAGTGAGCACTTCTGACAATATCGCAAATCCCCACCCTGCAAAATAATTCACAGTAAAAAAACTCCTGTCCACACCCCCCAGATCCTCCAAATATGGAGAAAGGGTGTCAGTTTCAAACACTTTTTGTAATCCAAAAAGTTAACTACTATAGTTTGCTCTGAAAAAGCTAGCTTTTCATATTATTTTCCAAAAATTACCCAAAAATAGTAATAGACAAGTTACATGATATATACGATAGTATATGATAATTTGAGTTACATTGAGAAGTGAGTTTTAAAAACATAAGATCAAATTATTAACTATGACAGTGTACCTTATGTCCTAACAAATGTAAAAAGTTGTACATTGGTCAAACATGACTTTTTTGTAACGGAAGCAGGAATGAAATTACATCAGAACCCCAATAGGCCAGTTATTTACAAGAAATGTATAAAGTTATCCTTTTCATAGACAGCAGAAGATTTCATTGCAATGCACTGAGTTTGAGTAAGAAGGAAAGTTGATAGTTTCCAAAAAATGTGTGAAACTTGTATATGTAATGTACAACAAGTTTTAAAATGCCAGGATACGTCAGGTCACAAAGGATTTAATCAAGGGAGAAGTCATGGTATGAGGAGCAAACAAGCCATCGAACTAACAACAAACAAAAGGTGCATTACTATAAATTCAATTGAAACAATTCCAATTCCCCCACTATATGGGAGTTTATTGAATAGCAATCAGGTCCATCAAGAGTTTTAATTTCTTTGAATATTTGTCAACAATCTACCCCACACATTCTGGAAGATAGATGGAGTTGGTTTTATCTATCACAAGAGCCTAAATCACTCTGCCCATATCTGCAATGGCTCGAGATGTTTATCCTTCAATTATTTTATCACATATCAGCCAAAAGAGTGTTTAGCTTTATTGAACCCGAAGAAAGAATATCTGAAGATAGGGCTTTCCGGTTGTGGCATTGGGAAATGAAAAATGCATGCTCAAATTCAGAAATGAAGGTGCCACATGTCGCCAGATGTTTAGATCCAATTTGGGCAAAACAAATGACCTGGATAACCAAAACAAACGCCTACCTGGGGAAAGGTTTTTCTTGAAACGCTTCAATGGGATATGTAGTTGGTTTCACCTTTTGTTCATTCAGTGGCTTATTTGCTCCTCTGAATAGTCATATCTGAAGGAACCTCCTTTGAGATATAATAATTGCAGATTCTCCTTCAAAGTTGATTGAGGGGTAACAAACTAATAGGAGATTCGAACAAGATAAGAAGGGGAATGTATGATACGGAGTATGATGACTATCATGATTAATGCTTCAAAAGTTCCGAAGTGCCGTGTTTAAGATGCCTCATTAGCTGATAGAAATGGAAATGAAAAGGATTCCAGAAGATAGAGATATGTCTAATTATGAATTTTTCAAGTGCCTTATACCACATTATACTTCCATTTAAAATTTGAGAATTGAGAGAGAAAGAAAAGAATAATAGCGCTTAGGTATGCCTGGAAGTTGAGTATTGGAGGGGAGGGAAAGGGAAGGGAGTAGTTGTTTTATTTTTCCTACAAAATGTTGCTTTAACTTGATAGATTTCTTATAGATATTAAAGTAGCATCAAACTCAATGTTTTAGAAATTCAGTTATTACATAAACCATATATAAATCTTGTCATAAATCTCTGTGTGCATGTATGAATGCCTTCTATAGATGGACTACAAGCATTTTTGTTTCTAAAGATGACATATTTATCAAATATACACTGCCGACATATAATTTAGCTATTGTAACGACACACCACATTAACAGCGAAAATCATGCACATACCCTGCACCATATTTTTCATGCATTGACATTTGACATTGTCCCTAATTACATAAACATCTATCACACAAATGAAAACCCAATGCAGCTCCAGACCTCCTAAGCTTTGGCTGAGAAGCCCAACAATCTTATCAGATCAGCTAAATGTAACCTACAACTTTAAAAATCAAATTGATTATGAACTAGTGACTAAATATTCTTGAGAAAGAAAATTGGCATATGACAAACTGTTAAACAAATCTACCCAGACTGAAAGAATATGCAAGAGAAACATCGCCAAGTAATAAGCACATGAGTTTAACTAGCTATCCCTCAACCAAATAGATATTTATGTAGCAAATTTGTATGTTCTTCGTTCATTCAGTTCTAGCTCATCCAAGCATAATCTTTATACACAAGCATAAATCAAACAGAAAACACATAAACAATGAAATGCAAGGACTAACAAGGATTTAGCATAGAGACCTTGCGCTTGATCTCTTGAATTGCGTTATCAGGTCCTTCAAGGTCAGGCAAGTATGAAGAAGGAACCCGACCCGGATCAGTATATACGGCGAGGCCATAGTTGGAGGTGCAGAGAATCGCAATGACGGTGAATGCAAGAGCGTTTAGCATTCCCGGTGAGGAGCCGAGGCCGAACCACCGGTCTATGAATACGAACACCGTCGACCAGTAAGTGAAAACGATGGCCGATATGATGACGGCGACATAGAGAGTGACCTTGCAACCGCGCTCCATTCTCAATTCGATCGAAGATTTGGATGTCTACGTTGTCGTCTCGTCGTCCGCGGCGGCGGTGGTAGCGGAGACTCCGGCGTAAGGAGTGTTACGACGGCGTCCCCAGAGAGATGGTTCGGCAAGGATCTAGAAGGCGTGCTCTGCCGAATGCCGCTATGGATTGTGAGTCAGTGAGTGGGTATACCGTAACTTTTAAGTATGTACGATAGTATCTGAAGTCCGGTCCTGCTATAGGTACACACAATACATACACATTAGTACACACTATAAAATGGGGAAAATTACTTCTCCAAATATTACTCCTCTTTTACCCATTTTCTCTCCCTTCTCTTCTACTCCCTCTCTCTCCCTGCCTTACGCTCCTCCCCTCTTCCCTCCATCTTTTTTCTCCTTTTCCCTGTTTTTCTTTCTTTCTTCGCACTTCTCTATCAAATTCATCTTGATTTTATATTGTCCTGTCCTTTGGTTTCTTGATGACTCCCCTAAAATCAAAACGTGAAGTTCCTCCGCAGCGGCGGACCTAGTGGGGGGCAAGTAGGGGCTGCAGTCCCCCCAAAATAAAAATAAAAAATATTTTTTTTGGTATAAATAAATATATAAATAGATATGTCCCCCCAAAATTAAAAAATATGCAGTACTACTCCGTATTAGTTATCAAAATAGAGGAACTGGCACTATGGCGCACTACTCCATACTTCTAGGCTTAGCTCATATCTAGCTATCCGTATGGATTTTTATTAAAAATAGATGGGTCCCTAACTCCACTAACTAAAATACAAAATTAACTTTTACATTTCAGTATTTCGCACAACATATCAATCTTAAATTGGTGATCAATTTTATGTTTATATAAAGTCATGCTTAATTTTTGCAGTAATAAAATTTGGCTTCAATATTTTTTTTGGGTAATTCGAGTTTGCACCCCATTTTATTGTTCAAATTGGACTTTGCACCTCATTTTTAAAATTCTTTGTTATTACACCTCAATTCCATATGAAAAGACAAAAATGCCCCTCAATCAAGAATATGTTGAAGGCTTAATGGAGTTGGGATGCAAAAACAATTTAAAAAAAATATGCAAAATTCAATTTCGACAATAAAATGTAGTGCAAACTCAAATTACCCCGAATTTTTTTGCCCCTGCACATAAAAAATCCTGCGTCCGCCGCTGTTCCTCCGGAGGCTGAAATTCACTGACCTAGTGTCTCACTTTTAAGGTAATTTTAGGTTTTGTTTTAATATCTAAGATTTTAATTTTTTTTTAAAAAGGTGAAGATTTTTCTTCTTGTCCGTTAATGCGATTTAGTTTCAATGGGTTTTAATTGTTCTGAATTTCCGTTCTATTTACGAATTAATCAATAGGTTTGACTAGAATAATTTTAATTATTATACTTATTTGTGTTTTTCGATTTTAGGTGAATTACACTACATGCATACGTACATATACTATTGTATATATTATGATGGATTTTGAATCTTATTTTTTATGTTCCAGATGGCTTTTGTGTACTTGGGTAGCCGTAGATGTTTAGTTTGTTGACCAATTTGAGATTGAAGGATATACCCTTTTATGATGTACATATTGCACATTGATACATTGATATAGGTTTATGATATAAACCATTGAAATATTAGTCCGGTTGTGTTTCCTTTATATGCCTATTACATGTTTGTTGAACCTTCAATGAATTTTTTTCATTCAATTCATTATTTTTATTCAACAAGTATCAATCGACTATTTGAACATTAGTTTTTGTTTTGTTTTGCAGTTCGAACCATTGAAAGAATTTCTCTTGTTGCAGAAATCGGTGCTAGTTGCTTCATCTCGCCGAGTTGGATAAGAGTTAAATGTAATGTTGTGCTATTAGTTTTTGTAATTAGCTAAATTGTAAAGTTAATGTTCTTGTAATGACAATGATAGTATAATTAGAGTTGTTTGTGTTTTCAAAGTTTATCTTTTGTATTATGAAAATGACTTTGAATGTTATCAAATGAATTGAAGTTGTGATATTAATCCGTGTAATTAGCCTAATGCTTTATAGCTTGAGATAGTGGTTCTCATAAAAATTGAATGTCTGTGATAATTGCTCACAAATTTCATTAGAAAATGATAATTGCTCACGAACAAAATAATTAGCCTAATACTTTTTAACAATTGACTATTTTCTACACAGACAAAATAAATGAACACACAAATAATGTTTTAATCACGTACAAACTATATAAAAGAATACACAGACAATTAATTTGTACGCACAGACAAAACAAATGAATGCACAAACAATATTTAAACAATGCACAGACAATTTAAATGAACATATGAACAATAATTTTCTACACACAGACAAAATAAATGAACAAATAGACAATATTTTAACCATGCACAGACAATATAAACAAACACACAGACAATAGTTTTCTACAAACGGACAATGTTTTAACTGTGCACAAATAATATAAATAGACAAACAAACAATTTCAATTTGTGCAGTTAAAATATTATCTGTCTTCATTCATATTGTCTGTGTGGTTAAAAGATTGTTTGTGCATACATTTATTTTGTCTGTGTGTTCATTTATATTGTCTGTGAATGGTTAAAATATTGTTTGTGTTCATTTATTTTGTTTGTATATTGAAAAAACTATCTATAGAAAATAATTGTGTGTTCGTTTATATTGTCTATGTGTGGGCAGTGTGGCTAAAACATTGTCCATGTGCTCATTGATTTATAGTGTCTATGCGTGGTTTAAACATTCTTCATATGTTTGTTTATTTTGTCTGTGCATAGAAGTAATTGTCTTCGTATTCCTTTAAAAAAAACTTACTAAAATTATCTTGCTAAAATTAGCAAATTACCTATAACTACCGAATCATGTACAATGGTTAAAAACAGCAACCACTACTACAATAGCACTCATTCCAGAAACTAAACATGCACCATCATACATTTCAGAAACTAAACATACATCATCATTTAAACTATCATCTTATTTTTTGGCTGGCTTTAGCCTTTCATCTTCATGTCTTCTTTTTGGAGCTTCCCATTGACTTCTTAGTGGCAAGGTTGTCCTCCTTGTGACAGTAACTGACATATAAAATTATATATGTTGCTCCAATCAACACCAAAATTTATCATATATACCAAAAAGAAATATTAGTGTGTGTATATATATATATACTATACAAGGTTATTCTTTTTTAGACAGAACCGGCTGAGAATAACGATAATTGGATGCTACAAGTGCATTGAGAGTATCCTTTTTAGATACATAATTCAGTATAAAATGCGGCAAACACAATAGATTATAGGAAAAATTGACAAGAATAATCCCACCTTTCACTGGTCTTCTCATAATAATCTCACCTTTAAATAATCCCAAAATAATCTCACCTTTGCATCTCATCTTCTTTCATTGGACCCTGACCATATTTTTTAGTCTTTCTTTGAAATTTATACAAATAATCTCACCCTTCACTTTTTAATTATATCCTTATAAATGTGAGATTATTTATATAAGATTTTTTAAAAAAAGGTAAAAAACTTGGTCAGGGTCCAATGAAAGAAGATGAGGTGCAAATGTTGGATTATTTTGGGATTATTTAAAGGTGGGATTATTATGAGAAGACTAGTGAAAGGTGGGATTATTCTTGTCAATTTTTCCTAGATTATAAATATCTTTGAACCCCTTAAGTCCAAATGTTGTAAAAAGAAAACCACAATGGTAGTAGTTTAAGTAAACAACAATTTATCAATATGAGCTTTATCCCCTTGAACAATCTAACTGCTATTTGCAATACTCTTTCTTCAACTATAATAAAGATCCAATACCTAAACAATGAAATAAGAAACTAAGACGCTTCAGTATAGAATAGCAGACAATACCTTGTTGATTTTCAGTATAGTAATGAGTTCATCATGGTATTCATTGAGATTGTTAGGTTCAATCTCTTCAAATGCAATTAACATTGTTGCAGTAGCAATGACAGATGGAAGATAATGCAATAGCCTAGAATCTGGGTTTCAGTTTGTGCCAAATAAAACAAGTCAATACTATTTAAAAACAACAATCATTACTATATTTGCAAAGCTTCAAAAGGGGTAGAATTCCTGACCAGTAATTATAGAGAATGATCCCTTCACAGCACCTCAAAAATTCACAATGCAGGTTGTCTTTAAATCCAAATCTCCTAATGATTTGGTCAAAGAAAGAGATGGGTGTGACTGGATTTATCCTCCAATTAAGAGTAGAGAGCACCAGAAGTTGCATTCTCTGAATAGTTTTCGCATCAAACATATACTTGGAGTCTGTAAAAATAACTATATCATTATTCAAAATGGGAAACAAGAAAATTAGAATCTTGAACTAATTAACAAAAAATAAAGTAAAATTTTTGGATTTTAACAAAAAAATATCATTGAGTCATTTCAACAAACATGTTATGAGCATAAATGTGAAATAGAAAAAATGAACTAAAATTTCAATAGCTAACACAACATTCTCTTACAATAATACAAATTATTCAAGTACACACTGTAATACTATACATTAAATACAATAATCACAAATTTTGAATAAATAAACCCTAACTACACAGTTTGCAAATAAAACCTAAGTGCACATAGAAAAATCGAATAGATTTTTACCTCAATTTATGGGCTGCTTGATCGGAGCTTTTTGTTCGAGCGACGCACACTGTCCGTCTCATCCTCGATGTCTGCACCGATTCCGGAGGCAACCACACGGCTGATGGACTTTTTGAAGACAGGTGAGTAGGTGACCACCTGAAACATTACTTCTGAGATTTGGCCCCTGGAAGGGAGAAACGAACAAGTGAAGTGAAAAAAGAGAGAAAAAAAAGAAGGGTCAGTGGAGAGTAAAGATAGAGGAAACGGAGGGGGAGGGGAATCAGGGGAGTGGGGATGAGAGAAAGGGAGGGAATGGCGTGGTGGGTAACTTTTGAGCTAAGGGAGAAGGTAATTTTTTAAGGTATATATAGTGTGTATGTGTGTGTACAATTAGTGTGTACCAAAGGCATTTTCGATCTGAAGTCTGAAGTTCAACCGGAGTGTAGACACTTTCTTCTGTGTAGATTTGTCATTAGTGTTTCTAATAATTACATTAATATGTAAAATTTCACATTTTTTAAAATTATGAAACCGTGCAATATGCGTGCAATATTTTTTTTGAACGTGCAACAAATAGTTTATGAAATCTAATTTGTAGTACAATATAATGATTTATTTTCTTCAAAAAAAATAATGATTTATTTTCATGAAAAAATCTCTAAATACGAATAAAAAAGTTTTTAAGTTCCAAAATACTCAGAACATAAATTTCAAAAAAATTACTCTTACTCAATGCATTATCTATTTATTTTCAAGCTCTTATAATTATAGAAATTTTAAATGTGAGTAAGACATAGATAAAATGCACAAATTTATATCGTATGATTTTTCATTCGTGGATCTAGCAATTACCTTAATATGAAAAATTCACAATTTAAATTTTTAATATGTCTGGAAATAGTATATGAATTATAGTATGTACTCCCTCCATTCTTTATTAATAGTTCCGCTAGCCTTGGACACGGGTTTTAATAATAAAGTAGTAGTGTAAGTATAGAGTGTGTAGGGTAAATGATAAAGTGGGAAAGAAAGGTATATTAAAAAGAGTAAAGTGGGGATAAAGTATGAAAGAGAGTGTATTAAGCAGAGTATAGTGATGATAAAGTAAGAAAAAGAATGTAGTTTGTAATAAGTAAGTGGGGTAAACGTAATAAAAGTGGGGGTATTTTAGACCAAAATGGAATAAGATATTATTAATAAAAAAAACGGAGGGAGTAGTACGCAGTACAATTTAATAATTTATTTCAAGCTCTAATATTTATAGAGAATTTCTTAAATGTAAGACACAAACAAAGTGTTGCTCCCGTTAAAACCGGACCTCACAAACCTGCAGAACCCGTTAAAACCCAGAACAAGAAGCAAAATGTTGCTCCCAAGATTCGAACCTCATACCATTTGTAGCGCAAGACCAAGGCTTCCCGATATTCCACATTGACTTGTTGTTACATATTGCTTAAACCACTCTGATGATTCAAACCTCGTACCTTCTTATTACTAGGTGTATTCTGAAATGAACCAATATCATTCCTTAATTAGAAGTTGTTCTCTTCACCTGATCTCAATGTTTCTGATCTGAATTTTTTAAGTTCAGATCTGAATCTTTCTGATCTGAATCTTCTTTATCTGATCTGAAACTTTCTGATATGCTCTAAATCTTACTGATCTGGTCTGATTTGATTTGAATCTTTCTGATCTGGTTTGTTCTGATCTGAATCTTTCTGATCTGATCTAAATCCTTTTGATCTGATCTTAATATCTTTGATCTGATCTGATTTGAATATTTTTTATAATTATAATTATAATAATTATAATTGCACATATAATTTAAATAAATTTTTAATTATAATCATATCTATAAACAAAATAAAATTATAATTATAATTATAATTAAAACTATAATAATTATACCTATTACACTTATTATAAATATAGATATGATTATAATTGTAATTATATTCTTAATTATAATTACTTATATAATTATAATTGTAATTATAATTATTATGAAAATTAAAATTACAATTACAATTATAGTTATATAACTATAATTCTAATTGTAATTGTAATTATAGATGTATTTATAAATATATTTATAACTATAATTGCAATTATAATTAGAGATATTACCCAAAATGGGACTAAAAAAGTTTGGAAATTCCAAAATAGGACTTCCATGTTTTTATTCACAAAACAGGACTAATTACTGTCATGTTTTGGCAGTACCAGACTTCAAATTTGGCAGTAGTTTCCAAATTTGGCAGTAATTAGTCCTATTTTAGTAATAAAAACATGACAGTCCTATTTTGGAATTTTCAAACCTTTTTAGTCCCATTTCGGGAACTTTCCCATAAAAATTACAATTATAATTATAATTATGATTTTAGTTATTCCATAATCCGTATAATAATAATAATAATAATAATAATAATAATAATAATAATAATAATAATAATAATAATAATAATAATAATAATAATAATAATAATAATAATAATAATAATAATAATAATAATAATAATAATAATAATAATAATAATAATAATAATAATAATAATAATAATAATAATAATAATAATAATAATAATAATAATAATAATAATAATAATAATAATAATAATAATAATAATAATAATAATAATAATAATAATAATAATAATAATAATAATAATAATAATAATAATAATAATAATAATAATAATAATAATAATAATAATAATAATAATAATAATAATAATAATAATAATAATAATAATAATAATAATAATAATAATAATAATAATAATAATAATAATAATAATAATAATAATAATAATAATAATAATAATAATAATAATAATAATAATAATAATAATAATAATAATAATAATAATAATAATAATAATAATAATAATAATAATAATAATAATAATAATAATAATAATAATAATAATAATAATAATAATAATAATAATAATAATAATAATAATAATAATAATAATAATAATAATAATAATAATAATAATAATAATAATAATAATAATAATAATAATAATAATAATAATAATAATAATAATAATAATAATAATAATAATAATAATAATAATAATAATAATAATAATAATAATAATAATAATAATAATAATAATAATAATAATAATAATAATAATAATAATAATAATAATAATAATAATAATAATAATAATAATAATAATAATAATAATAATAATAATAATAATAATAATAATAATAATAATAATAATAATAATAATAATAATAATAATAATAATAATAATAATAATAATAATAATAATAATAATAATAATAATAATAATAATAAAAAATAATAATAATAATAATAATAATAATAATAATTATTATTATTATAATATAATTAATATTATAATAATATAATAATAATCAATTCAATAGTTTCAACAAGAATATAAATAATACTAAGTGTTTGATAACAATGATTTGTTTTTGAACAAAAAAAAAGAATTAAAATGTTGATGAGGCAAGTATATATGCTAGCAAACGGGCGTTGGTATGTAAAAATTTCATGAAAGCATTATTCAACTCTCTCCAGTCTCCACCCTATTTAAACTTCCCTCTTTGATTCTAACGCATTTTAAGGAATTCTTTTCCATTTGACTTCCTTAAACACCCTTTTTACTGAGGGTAAAAATTACTATAAAATACATTATTTTGTCAATGTTTAACTCTTTGTCACTGTGCAGTTACTATTGATTAAGGGTAGTAAATTAAATTGATAAAAATGTGATTGCCAAATATGAAAAGCAGGTTTTATTAAGGGATATTCAAAAAAAAAGTGAGAAGTTTTTAATATACTCCATCCATCCCATAAAAGCTTCACTTTTTTCTTATTTTATGTTCCTAAATAAGGGCCTATTTCTTTTTTTGCAAAAGAGATTTCTACCAATTTAATCTACTACCCTTAATTAACAATGGTTGCAAAGGTAGTGACAAACAATGTTACAAAGTGTCGACATTGTCAAAACAATACAATTGATAGAGTTGTATTTTTATTATATATTGTTTCTATTTTAACTAGTTTTATTTGTTGTTGCTTTGGAAATTACACAATTTTGGTGTAATACTTTAGTTTGTGAAATTATTTGTAATTTGTTTAGATTAGTATTATTCTGAGCTTAGGACAAGTCAAAATCATCCCAAGAATCAAAGGACATATGGATCCTAAAGACCAAAGAATGTGCAAAAGGGAGAAGATCAAATGAAGATTCTGAAATTCGTTCAATACTCGGTGGAGTATTGACCGGATACGTTGAATATTTGATGAGAATCTTGTCTCATACCCGATCTAGTATTGGCAATACTTGGTCGAGTAGGCCTATTTTTCACAATTTCGTGGAAACTACCTCCTACTCGATCGAGTATCCCATATACTGGGATCGAGTACAACACTCTGCCATCTCCATTATGCTATAAATACACCTCTTTTCCTTCACATTAAGATCACCAATTCACATATACTTCTAAACTCATATTAGACAAGTATTTCCTTTATATTTTCTAGTATGCTTAGTCTCCAAATGAGGAGACAAACTCTTTCATCTTGGTTTTGCTACTTTGAAGCTTAATGGATTGTAGTTAAGTTGTGAGTTATTTTCTTTAATCTTCTTCCTTGAATAATTATTCTTCCTTTAATCTATCTCTATATTAATGTTGGGGAGTGTTGCTAAGATGACAATTAGTTAACATCTCGACATTAGTTATAGTTGCATTTGTTTCCTTTAATCTATCTCTATATTAATGTTGGGGAGTGTTGCTAAGATGACAATTAGTTAACATCTCGACATTAGTTATAGTTGCATTTGTTTCCTTTAATCTATCTCTATATTAATGTTGGGGAGTGTTGCTAAGATGACAATTACTTAACATCTCGACATTAGTTATAGTAGCATTTATTTTCTTTAATCTTCTTCCTTGAATATTAATTAATTACTATTTATATCAATATTTTGAGCATTACTTAAAGGATCAACTAGTTTTGTTTCATATATTAATTATTACTAGAATCGATCGACGAATATGCTTGTTAATCGTTCGGTCTTTTCACAGTAGTTAACTTGGATTATTAATGCATACGTCTCATGGTTAATAATCTAAGGGGAATTAATTATATTGATTAAACCAATAAATCGTTTGTGTTGAGGTTATTAATCTCAATCGTTTTCATCTTAGGTTTATTGCTACTATCGGGATAATATATGGCGCGTGTTCTATATTGACTCGGTAGTAAGTTTTATTGATGAACGCGTCTCGTTATTAATAACTACTCTCGATGAATTGGATATACTCCTCGA